AAGGAATCCTACTTCGCGGAATTTCATTTATCACGGTAGGGTCTAGAACCGATTAACCGCGATAAACGAGGGTTCACTGTACTCTATTTTCCCACCGGCATGTGCTCCCTCCATGTCTCCGTGTCCCATGTTGGTCAATCTCACAACACAAGGGGCGATCAAAAAGTTCTGCTCCTAACATCATGGAAACCTTTATCAAACAAACACTCGGAAGACAAAGCCAAGGCTTCTCAGTAGATCCTCCATCTAGGGCTATGCTGCTTGCAAGGCAGAGTTTCCATCTCTCTAGCTCTTCCCCCAAGAAGCCTGTGCCCTTCAATTTATACCAGGTCAAAGCAGCAGTTTGGGCATCCTGGACGGGCTCAAATCCTGTTTGCTTACTTGTTGATTTACCTTTTAGTTTGAGGAACAAAAAGAAGTCTGAAGGGATAAGATCAGGCCTTTGGGTGGATAAGGTATGATTTCCCAACAAAATTCCACAGGATTTCTATCCATTGCTATCCTGGAAGAAGGCGTAGATGCATTGTGATGGAAAATGTGAATCAATGCAACTTTCCTCATCCTTTTCTAATCAATTTTCTGAAAACGTCTTCTTAATAAGCCCCCGTGATCTTCGTATGTCCTTTGAGAAAATCTATCAAGAAGACTCCTTTGAAAGTTCACCCAGCAGTCGCCGTAACCTGAGCTGATGTATCTTCTGCCTTGAATGGCCCAGCAGATCTCCTGGGAAGCCACTTTTTGATTGGACCATTGTTTTTAAGGCACTGAGGAGCCCTGGTGACGCAGTGGTTATACCTTGGGTTACTAACCGCAAGATCAGCAGTTTGAAACCACCAGAAGCTCTGTGGGAGAAAGATGAGACTTGCTACCCCATAAAGAGTTACAGTCCCAGAAATCCACAGAGGCAGTTCTGCCCCGTCCTAGAGAGCATGGCTGTCAGTCAGTACTGACTCGATGGCAGAGCTGCTAACCACAAGGTCAGTGGTTCGAACCCACAAGCTGTCTTCTCTCATACAGAATTAAAGTCTCAGAAACCCCAAAGGACAGTTCTACCCTGCTGGACGGGGTTGCTATGGGTCAGAATCGACTCCACATCAGTGCGCGAGGAGACTCAGGCGCATCGCACTACAGAGAGAACCGGTTACAGCCAGCAGAGACACGCTGAAACACTGGAAGCCTAGAAGCAATACCTTCTGACTTACTATGGTATTTCAAATTGACATAATGCTATATTGCACAGTTAACAGACTGCAGGGTAGTGGGGATCTGTAACTTTTCTAGGCACGGGAACTAAAAAATACATGGCTTGGTTTATTTCGACATTCGTTTTGTTGAGGTGGTCTGAATCAGTGCGTACATGGTCTCTGAGTTATGGGTGGGTGTACCCCTAGAAGAGGCTCTTTGCTCTCGTAAAGATTTACCATTTCAGAAATCCACAGGGGGCAGTTCTACTCTGCCTGCTGGGTTGTTAAGAGGTAGAAGTGACGCGAGGGTGGTTAGCTCGGTAAGTCTATCAGCCCAGTGGGTTCCTTGAGCACGAGCCAGCCTCCCCAGCCTTGGCTCACCTTTTGGAATTGCTGGATGCGGGTTTCTGACTCTGGACTCACAGAAGTCCCACTGAGGCCCAGACCCTCAGAAGGGTTCTGTCCCACCTAAACCCCAGTCTCCAGTTCTGGACACCCCAAAAGATCACTGCCGGTGACGGAATCAGAACGAGCAGTGTGGAAAGGCATGGAGGCGTAACCCTTGTGTTCCCTTGGTCAAACCACTAATGCTGTAGAGCCAGGTG